GGAAGAGCGCAATGATGGTGCCAACTTGGGCCAGTGAAGCATCGTCCTCCACAACTAGACTGAAGAACAAAAAAGGACAGCAACTTGTCTGTTCCCCTTCCCCCAATTCCCCAGCACTGTTCCCATCCCAATTCCCCAATAAAAAAATCTTTAAAAAAACAAACAAAAAAAAACCAACAACAAAAAAACAAAACAAATGAATTCAGCATGATTTATTCTGTTTTTGAAAGTTTAGGAATTGGTTTTTAATACTTAGTTCGAATTTAGAATACTTAGACCTTATCACAAGTGTAGGTTAAATGGCTAAGTACATTACTCTTAGAAAGTTAAATAATTATAGATTTATTTTTCACCCTATGAGACAAATAAAATATTGGTTGTTTATAAAATATTACTGTCATCTCACAATAATCCATCTGAGGGGGGGAAAAACCCAAAACTCATTTCACTGCTCTGGGTATTTCTCATTTTATGTAAACTCACATTATACTATGCATATCTTCTAGACTGTTAGAGTTAAAAGAGACAGTAAAGGTTATTTAGTCTGACCATTTTTGTAATTAAGAAATCCCATTATAGCAGCTAGGACAGTTACCCACCCTCTGAATGAGGTCATGCTGGGAATCCTAACTCCTCTCAGGATAGTTCATTTCACTGAACTTATAAGCTCCTTCATAGAAGAGTTTGTTTTATTCATCTTTGTATGCTTGACAGTGACATGCAAATAATATAATAGGTACTTAAGCCATATTTGTTAAATTATATTAAGTAGCAATCTACTTTCCTGTGACTTCTCCACATTGGTTTTAATCTCATGGATCAACATATAATTGTGTTCTTTTCTATTCGATAAATTTTTGTATACGTGGATGCCACCATTTTGTCTGTCTTCATTCTGTACTTCTCTAGACACTATGAGAGTTTGTGGATCTCTAACCATCTTTGTCATCTTAGTTTATCATCCACTCTTAAAATATAATACCAAGGGTGGCCGTCAACCCTTAGATTAGATCATATAGAGTGGGACCATTAATTGTAGATAATGGCCTCTTTTAGGCCATTAATGCCCTCTTTTCTGTGAAGGCACTAGGCTAGGTAGGCACTGTGAAATCAAGAAAAATATCTGAACTAGAAAACCATACCTACAAACTCCAGAATTTTGGGGTGTAAGTTTTGTCTATTGATTTTTTTTTTAGTTTAAGATTTTATTGGGGAATTGGGGAAGGGGAACAATGTTGGGGAATTGGGGAAGGGGAATAGTGTTGGGGGAATTGGGGAAGGGGAACAGCCAAGTTGTTGTCCTTCAATTTTAGTTGTGGAGGGCGTAGCTAGCTCAGCTCCAAGTTCAGTTGCCAACCTGCTGCCTGTCGGCAGCTCAGGGGAGCTCAGCTCAAGGTGCTGTGTTCGATCTTAGTTGCAAGTGGGCATAGCCCACCTTCCCATACAAGAGTCGAACTGGCAACCTTGTTGTTAGGAGCACATGCTCTCACCAGCTGAGCCATCCTGCCACCTGTTGGCCCCTTTGTGACAGCTCAGCAGCCCACGTGGGAATCGAACCAGCGACTCTGTTGCTCAGAGCTTGCGCTCTCAACCAACTGAGCCACGTGGCTAGCCTGTCTATTGATTTTTAAATTGTATTTTCTAGCTGATATTGGGGTGAAGTTTTGTAATGCTACCAAATCATTGTTCACTCCAATTTGTGCATTTAATAATAACTTATATTTAACTCTTGGCCATTTACCTAATGCTTTCACACATATGCTCACATTTAATCCTCAAGGTAGGTATTATTATTCCCGTTTTATAGATGAAGAAAATAATTTCTCCAAAGTTATACAACTAGTAAAGTGGCAGAAGCTGGTTTCAAATTCAGGTGTTTCTGACTTCCCTGAATCTTCTCATAGCTGCCTTAACAAGAGGTCTCATTAAAAAAATTTCTTGGGCCGGCCGAGTGGCGCGATGGTTGGGAGCTGGCTTGGGACGCCAGAGGGCCCCGGTTCGGATCCCACATATGAGGGCCAGTGACACTGCCCTCTGCAGCTAAGATGCTGAACAGCAGCTCAGCCTGGAGCTGGGCTGCCGGGAGTCGCCACGACGGTGTGGGCTGCAGCCCCTGTGGCAGTGGGTTGCCATGGGTTACTGTGTGTAGCCAGCAGCCAGCAGCCAGCGTGAGCGGCCAGCAGCCGCAGTGAGCGGCCGTCCAGAGGCCGGCGACTGATCTGCCTTGCCCGGGAGGTGCGCAATGATGGTGCCAACTTGGGCCAGTGAAGCAGCGTCCTCCACAACTAGATTGAAGAACAAAAGGACAACAACTTGTCTGTTCCCCTTCCCCCAATTCCCCAGTGCTGTTCCCATCCCCTCAATTAAAAAAAAAAGTTTTAAAAATGTCTCTTGATTTGAAGGGACATAAGCCTGCCAATTGATATTCATCATTTACCCCTTTCAGCTATTTTCTAATTCATACACTTAATAACGTTATCAGAATCAATGTTAGCCTTTCTTGTACATTAGATACTATTTATTTATTAGGCATAAAATATGAACCAGATTATACAAGTTCTTCACATTTACTAAGGAAGACCTAAGTTTCAAATGTACTTAAAGGAAACCATCCTTGCACCTAAACTTGGTATACAGAACAAGGTTTTTGAACTTGGGATGCATAATTCTAACATAAAAAAGAAAAATTTGATTCTTTTTAATGGCTTTGGTTTTTCTCATGTTTCTTCAACTCTGATGTGCTTGAATTTTATAAGACAGTTTGGAGTAATTCAATTCCTCGTTCTTATTTGACATGTATAGCTCGGGATGGTGGAATGGATTGAACCTCCTAAACGAGAACGCAAAGCAAACTACGCAGTCGATGCCTACTTTAGAGAGGCTTTACGTGTCAGCGAGCCAAAGGTGCCAAAGGTAAAAAAAAACTGAAAACAAAAAGCACAGTATGATGCCAGTTTTTATGTCCTAGAACAGGATTCTCTTGTGATAGTCTGTGATTCAGGTTTACTTATATTAATGTTAAATTATAGTTCATAAAACGATACAGAAAAGTACTTGATATGGCCCAGCCATACAAATAGATGTCATTGTATTTATTTTACTATATATAAAAGAAATAGTAAAAGATAAGTATGTTCACTTCCTGTACTGGAAAAATATATGTATGTAATGCATTTTTCCCACATAGGCTCCACGACCTCCAAAACAGCCAAATGTTCAGGATTTTCAATTTTTCCCACCACGTTTATTTGAGCTCCTGGAAAAGGAAATTCTTTACTATAGGAAGACAATAGGCTATAAGGTAAGTTTTCAGTTTCTTAGATTAGCATAATGTAATCTTTTAAGCTAATATAATCTATTAAGCTAGACTAGAAGGTGTTCCGTTTTAATGCCAGATAATGTAAGAATAAATCAAAATAGTGGTGGTTTTAAAACCAAAAAGGAGGTTTAACCAGAAGTAAAGCATCAAATAAAATAAAATAAAGAATCACCAGTAGGATCATCACTACATGAAATTAATTGACAATTATTCAATATTTCAAAAATGTAATAACACCATATATTATTTTAATAATGCTAGAGTTTGAGCAGTTAAAGAATGTGTAGAAAGAACAATAGGTATGTGGTTAGAAGTGAATGTATGATAGATGGTAGGAACTTTTTATCATTTTCCTTAATGACCAACAAATAGTATTTTTATGTTTTTTTGCTCAAGGTTGATGAAAGCCCTGTTGGTGGTTAGTAAACTGTGGTCACTTAGGTGTTAATGATAAACACAATAATGAATTATATAATTTTAAAATGAACTTTTGGAATTCTAAATTCTTATTTATATAGGTGGATAGGAACCCATTTTTGTGAGTGAAATTTAATGTTTGTCACACGTAAGCTATCAGACTGAGAGATTAAGCATACAAGTTATTTCCATATGTTGAAATTGACTTCCTAGTGAACGGAAAGGGGTGACCAAAAGTATATGTATTAATAGTATAGACAGAGTTATAAAACATTAACACTGTTGTAATTTTATAAAGCTTTTAGTTTTATGAATTGGAAGCTGTGTTTTAAAATTTATTTTGTGAACCTTTAACACAAGTGTAACCATGACCAAGTATTTTGATTACATGTTGTAATGTGCCTAAAAAAGCTTCATACACATATGTTATTTAGTTAGTTTGTGTATATTTTGGAACTCGAGTGGACCTCTAGAATGTTTCTGCTATTAGTCCAGAGTGGGAGCATTGACATTTGAAACAGGAAAAAAGCTTTATTTGCTATTTATATACTGAAGTTTAAATATACCTAGGGTGCCAAAAAGATGTATACCGTAGGACACTTTGGTCAACATTGCTCAAACAGTAGTTCGCTGTAATCAGAAGTGTCTGGACACTGATGGTCACCATTTTGAGCACCTCTTGTAATTGGATAAGTCAAACGTAACTCATATTCATCTTTTGTTATTGGTATATATTGAGTATTACAATTTAAATACAGTTTTTTCCTTTCTTAAATGTGTAAACATTTTTGACACCCTCTGTATATACGAGATTTGATCAAACAATATGGTGAATGATTAAATAAAACAATTATTACAGTAAAAGACACAGTGCCGTTAATCCCCTTCAAAATAATCCCCCTTGCTTTAAACACACTTATCCCATTGTTCTTGCCACTTTCTGAAGCAGTCTGGAAGCTCTCTTTCGTGAGTGTCTTTAGTTGCGCAGTCATGGCTGCCTCGATGTCCTGAATCATTTTGACTGTGGAGAAGAGCCAGAAGTCTCATGGTGCCAGATCCAGTGAATAAGGTGGATGAGGAAACACCGTAATGTTTTTTTGTTTTCTTTTTAAAGATTTTATTGGGGAATTGAGGGAGGGAACACTATTGGGGAATTGGGGAAAGGGGACAGACAAGTAGCTGTCCTTTTGTTCTTCAGTCTAGTTGTGGAGGACATTGCTTCACTGGCCCATATTGGTTTCATGATCATTGTGCTCTTCCCGGGTGAGGCAGTCGGTCGCTGGCCATTGGACAGCTACTCACGGCAGCTCATGCCAGCTGCCAGCCGCTCACGCAGGCTGCCAGCCACTCTCGGTAGCTTAAGGCAGCCCACTGTAGCCCCATGGCAGCCTATGCCATCACTAGTGGCTCACGACAGCCCAGCTCCAGGTCGAGCTGTTGTTCACCATCTTAGCTGTAGAGGGTGCAGCATCACTGGCCCTCATGTGGGATCTGAACCGGGGCCCTGCTGCTCAGAGCTGGCGTCCCAAGCCAACTCTTAACCAACGAGCCAATTGGCCAGCCCTGTAATGTTTTTATGTGACAGAAATTGCTGTATACCAGAAGCGGTCTGTGACACAGAGTATTGTCATGATGGAGGATGATTTATGGCACACTTTATGTTTTTTAATATTTACATTATTAATTATATTCCTCGAACTCTCTTTCATGTCCCTGTGGCAATATTGTAGTTACGTATTTATGTTCTCTGATCCTTTCCCCTTCTCCCTCATCCCAAACCCCACCCAACTAGCAGCCATCAGTTGTTCCTCTGTATCTCTGAGACCACTTCTGTTTACTTTGCTTGTTCATTCAGTTATTTAGATTCCACATATAAGTGAAATCATATGGTATTTGTCTTTCTCCGACTGACTTATTTCACTTAAGCATAATAGCCTCTAGGTCCATCCATATCGTCCAAAATGGTACGATTTCATTCTTCTTTATAGCAGAGTAACACTCCATTGTATAATGTACTACAGTTTCTTAATCCAGTCATCCACTGATAGGCATTTCTGTTGTTTCCAAGTCTTGGCTATTGTGAACAGCGCTGCAATAAACATAGGGGTACATATATTTTTTTGAATTAGCGTCTTGG